AATCATATGTGCGACCGGACCGCGGGGACGTTATTATTGCTCTGATGTTTATTGTAAAGAGAATACACTCACCGCTGTCGTCATCGTACGCGTATATATATATATATGTGTGTAATAATAATGTATACCGTAAATGTGTGTGTGTGTTACTACCGTTGTTGCGACGAGCGCGTGTGTACAATGCCACATTGTTTGCCCTCGCGCGTTATTCTGTTATCCGCAACGTTATCTCTTTGATACCGCCGTCGTCGCAACTACGACCCCCTCAAGGGCCTATAAGCGCACGCGGAGTTCGACGTGTTTCATATATTGTCGGTCTTTGCCGTACGATTATTAAAACTATAATATGTTGCCGAGTCTCACAAATCGTACGTAACAAACGTACAAAAGTGACTTGTACGCGGTATACCTACAAGGATATCGCGTTAGCGTATAAACTGCAATATAACACGATATATTATACATTTTACGTATTAAAAAATTGTACCTACATACATTCCGCGACAATTTTTTGACGCAAAATCCTTTGAACGGCCAAATTTGCAGTAATTCGTACAAATTATCTCGCGGACACGCATAAACAGGTATATTTATGATATATGTGAATCACGTTGTCGAAGTACCTACATTGCTTTTTTCCCCGAACTGCAAACCGTCGAATTCTGTGGGTCTCATATCGTCCTCGATTATTATTATTTACGACTTAACACTTTCCTTGCTGTTAAATTATTATAAACTGAAATCTGTAAAGAAATTCACCAACATGTTTTTAACATTATTACAACAGCATACAAATAATATATTATAGATATATAGTTGTACATCAGTGTACAATATTGCAATAGACAGATACGTATAACAAAATAATATCGAAAATAACCCCATATGGCCATGTCTCTCATACTATGCCATACGCGTGTACAAAACTGATTTCTTTCAATTAACAATAATATTTAATATTTTGTAAGGAGTCGGTTTTTATTTTTTTTTTATTTAATGTCATCATGTTTTGCAGCCGCCCATTAACGTTGCGCAATGATTTTGTCTTGATATTGTGAAACAATACTATACATTAATACAATATTATGGTTCTTCTTCGGTTTTATTTTTTTCATACAATTTCCACGACTGCAATAATGCGTTTACGAGTTCAAAACGTGAAACTGCAAACGCCGACTTTATTGTATACCATAAATATTTCTGGTATTTGTTTTTCACAACGAAATATGCAATTGTAGGCAATTTGGATTCTGTAAGTACCAGCGATTTGATGACATGCGTAAATGTTATATTCTCTAGTAAATCGAATGTTCAATGATAATAATTCGTATTGCGCGTTCAAGTATATTAGCTGTACGCCGTACGGTCTACCTAATTACAATAAAATTATAAAAACAACAGTAAAACCAAAGGTCGCGTGCGATCTCAATCTAGGAAATCGGTGACACGTGCTCTCCGTGTATAAATAGTGCACGGATTTTTTTCCCGTCGATCAAACAATAGCATTTTGGATTGGTCGGGGGAAAAAACTGTATGTACTGCAGTGATGATTATTCACCTAATCCCCGGCAGCTATGTATTATAATTATATTGTATCGTCTTTCCCAGTTTCCGGTCGAGCCCTTTATACATTTTTGATATTGTGTCACTCTTCCGTGCACGAACGCGACACACGCGCAGTAATCTAAAACAAATACTTACATATTATGTATTGCGTCATATACCATTGGTCGAGATTAGCTAGGGACAGCAGTGACGAGTGGGTGGTACGGGGGAGCAAAAAAAGAAGCGCAGAAAATTCAAACTACATATATAGTGGTGAATAATTAGAACGTAGTTTCATTGTTTGCATTCGGTACACCACTCGTAAAAAAATAATAATAATAACAGACACACGACAAGGGTTGCAACTCTAAACAGACGCACACTCACATAGACTCGCGAACACACAGTTCACTTTGAAGTATACATTGTCAACAATGATACACACACGTCCCCGCGATGCCGCAAGAATCGACGGCGGTCTTTATATAATACACGTAAAACATGCGCGTTGTGTTGAAATCTCCTATAGTCCACGGTTCTTGGTAACATGCAACCTCCCTCGTCCACGTTATTACGATTGCCCCCGAGACGTCGTTTTAAACGATATCCATTGTTTACTTAGTGATGATAGTGGTAATGGTGGTGGTAGTGGTGGCGATGGTGTTTTAGGTGGAAGCAATAGAATAAAATATATAAAGAAAAAAATCCGAAAAGGTAGACGAGAGGGTCTTGTTCTCAGTAGAAAACGGTAAATATTTTTTTTAATGTGCGTATAATATAAACTTTCAAGCTTTTTTTTCCATTTTCCCAGCCACTGACTCTTTTTTTTTTTTACGGTAAAACAACGCCACCCAATAATGACAACGTGAAAGTCGTCCGCAATCGATACCTATCACGAATTAAATATTGAATAGGGTTTCGATATAGCAACGGTGGTGGACTGGTGGTAAACACAAAGCGTGCGGTTCAAAGACCGCAGCAGCGGCGACCTGGGCTCGTTCAATATTCATAAATGAACTTCGCACCCCCGCGAATACAAAATAATAATAACAAAAATCTTTTGCGCCACAAATTTCGGGTCACGTTTAAAAAAAAATACGACAAAAAGAATAATTTATAAGCGTTTTCATTTTTATTCTCGAAGCGAGCATTGTATAATATGAATAAGTCAACAGAAGAGAGGTGACGTAGCCGTAAGTGCTTTTGCCGATGGCTTCTGTAAACTCATTTTGCACGCAAGAACACGGCAAAAGATGAAAAAAATATTTACGTGTGTACTACTACAACCAAAATAACATCCACACAGTCTTTGTGTATATTTTTTTATAATTTGTTTTTTTAACCAAACAAACCCTTATTTTTCTTATGAAAATTAGCAGCATTTTTGCATCGTAAAATGTAACTATTTTCGTTAGGTACGTTTTTTCGATGCGCGTATGCGTGCACGCACACACACACACACACTCTCACACACACAATTATAATACTGCACACATTATCCGGTCGAATTGCTGCCGTCATGTATATATGTCAGTGTGTGTACGAGTGAAAATTGTCGTATAAGCGTTAAATAATCTAATAAATAATAATAAATCTAGAAAATTGGATGGTTGCCTCCAATGTCACCGCTATATAGGCTCCACTGCCACAAACTTTCGTATAATATGACAACGACGACGACGGTATATTATTATATTTTAAGTACTGGACCGTTGCCACGATTTCGCACTTTGTCTTTCGGCCATAATCTTTTTAAAATGCCCTGCACTCGCTGGTATGTATGAGTGTGTGCGCACAACCAGCTGAGAGCTCGATAGAATATGACAAACAATATATTATATTCATATATAATATATATATATACATATACACACCTCCACTCGACTGTAGATGAGCTATGTCTACAAATGACTAGTGGCAACGATCTATTTATTTTGGAAACAGTACTCACGAGTTACGATAAACAATAAAAAAGTAGAAAAATTTTGTTTTTTTTCGACATGAGATCTTATATTGTATTCAATTATCACTTGCGATTCAATATAACTTCCGGTTATGTTCACGCTTGTCTTCGGAATGACCGGTTCAAAAAAACGATACCGTGTATTATTATGCACATGTATTATGTGTGCACATTCATTAGTTTTTTTCTTGATCGATCCCATCGCCAGCTAAACCGGCGACTATATGTGAATATGTGATGAGTGTGACAACATTTCTTTGATTCTTATTTTTTACTCATTATGCGTTGTTCCGATGTAAAAAAAAAAAAACACTTATAATGGTATTAAAATGATTCACCACGGTCATGACGAAACCATATGTTTTAATCGCACCGGAAACCGGAACACGCATGATATTAATAAATAAATTAGCACATGTAACGCGTGTATTCCTCCAACTCGCAGAGACGGTTTTTGCCAGAATTTAGAATAGACGCACTAGGTTGGGCGGCAGGATGTATACGTGAATAATATGATATACTGTGCAGCACGGGATATGACGGTGTCAGAAGAGTGCGAACGAAATGGGCAAAAGATTTTTAACTATTCAGATAATTAAATTGGAAAAAAATTGTCTACCGCCTTATAGAACAATAAAACTGTCACGCGGGGGAGTGTGTAAACGAGACACAAGAAAAAAACACGCTGTCCCTCGACAGTCGTGTGTAGAATTAATACTATTGGCTCCGAAGTGTGTAACGCACATACTGTATGCACATAATATTTTTATACATATTATATACATGTATATCAGCATACGTTTTTCTTAGCATCGCGGCTATATCGTCTACAAACGTTCATTAATCAAGCGCAGTAGTAGACTGTTGCAGAGCGTAGTGTAAATAGTGTTTGGTCGTGACTCGTGACCGTTGTTAGTCGTCAAATATTTCATCGTAAATTAACTTTTGTGGATACCTATATCCTATAACTTTATTAGATCGTTACATTATTGGCAATTCATATTTTAAATATCAAATCAATGATCCTTGGAACTTGTGGAGCATTCACATACTATTTAATATAACATAAGCTCGGCAAACTTGAGGTAAAAATTTGTTTCATACTCTCGTCAAATCGATAACAATTTTTTGTGTCATTTTGACACTTATACTCGTAGATATTTACGATTAAAGTCTTGATTTTATCCTGCTAATTGAAAGTTTTGAGTGTTCGCTTTATTATTTAAATAAAAATAAAAACATTTCATCATCTCCATAACTGTATAAAATATTTAATAAACATTTGACAACACTTATAACTCGTATAGTAAAATATACACTACCCAGTATATGACATAAAATTATATAAAAATTCATATTTAAATTTGAAATTATAGTTTCTTTCCTCAAAAAAAAAAAAAAAAATTGTATGTAAATAGTAAATGCAACGTTTTGTGCACAATTTTTTGTTTTCTATGATTATCTTTATCAATAATTTTTCTTTTTTTTCCAGTTCAACAACCAGAAAAAGTTATCGCCCTTTCCAAACTCTCAGTCGCTGTTCTTCCTGCCGTTATTAGACCAACTGCGCGGCCTGTCACACTGTTCCAACGCGACGGCGCTGGCCAGTCAACAACAACAGCAACACCAGCAGACCTCGACTACGACGGCGTCCACCAATTGCAACGTAAGTACCTCCTCTATGATTCGTGATCTAATCTAAGATATACGATTTTCCCCTAAATGTATTTTTTCTGCTAAAGCTCATATTTAGGATTTTTAATTTTCGTTTTTCAATAATAATTATAATATATTTTATAATCATCATTTATAACTTATTCAGTGTTTGATATTCACTCGGAATTTACGTATTATTTTCTGGTTCACTTTTCACATCAGGTCATGCCAACAGCTGTATGGTCCAACAACGGCCGACCACCATCCACGTCATCGGCCAGCCAATGTTCTATGCAACTGCAACAGGAACAGCAGCAGACACCACCACCGGTCCAGACACAGCATCAGGCAACGAACGCCGACCCAGACGCGCCCCTGAACCTAACTAAGCGCAAGTCGCCCACGCCGCAACCGCATCCACCATCGTCGACGACGCCGCAACACCACCTCCAACATCTCCAACAGCAGCACCACCAGCAGCAGCAACAGCAGCAACAGCAACAACACCATCTCCAGCAGCAGCAGCAGCAGCAACAGCAACTGCAACACCAGCTGCAACAACAAGCCAACAACATGTTCGCCCCGAGGAGTTCGGGCGGCGCCGGCTGGAACTCATCGTCGTCTTCGCCACCAGCCACTACACCAGGAACTGCCAACAGGCGGTCAGGTTCCGGTCAGGGATTGGTCAGCCCACCAGCCGCGGCCACGCCGAAACTCCTTCCGCCACCTATACCGATGCCTAGAGGATTTATGCCATACGCTGGCATACCACAGCCTCCTCCGCCGCACCACTCGTCCACCGGTACGTGCAGTTTTTCCTGTCCGCCCAATCACCACTGAATTTCAGTATTTCAATACACAAGTTGTCCAAACTCATATTTAACCTAACCTAACCACCGTTCCGCCAACCAGTCATTGCTGGGTAACCAGTATAGATTTTAAATAAATATTAAAAAATTCCAACCGATAAAATGTTATTATTATGTATTTATGATGTCCCCCAACCTGTTAAACAATCGGGAAACATATTTGAACGTCAGAAAAAATAATCGCGTCTGGTTATAATAATTATAATAATATAATAATACTATATCTACCTACGGTGAATATATTATATCGATTCGTTAGAATAGACATATTTCTTTTCGGAGCCGACACGTGTTATAAATCGTACGAGCCGACGAAAATTGCGGTCGCGAAAATTCAAACCATATAAATTATTTTTGTGCGAGCCTTGGAAATCGGTTTATTCGAAGTCTGGGGAACTGTTAATGACTTATTATTCGCTTTATCGACATACCTCTTCACTCACGGTTCAATGCAATAATTATTATTCTCTCGAGTTATCTGCGCGCACCTCCTGCTGTTGTTTGATAATTTGAAAACGAGAATATTATAATAATTTATAATTGTATTCGTTTCGTTAGATTAGACACAATGTATATATGTATATATATATATATATATATATATATATATATATATTATATTATTATATCTATACGTATACTGTTACAGTGCACGAAGGTTGTTTCCCGTCGGTATTTCATAAACATCACTAAACAATAATAATGTAAAAAAACGATTAACGCGTTCGCCGCCTAAATTCTAGTACAATACTAGGTATATATATAAGTACTTAAACGTATTTTACTTATTCAATTTACTAATAGTGTTTTGACGAAAGCGTAATGGAACGAAAGGTGTCGCCCAACGACTTTTGGCGCCGCCTTTGGGTTAAACGTCGGCACTTGGTCACTTAAATAGATGTTATCAGCAGTACACGTCCGAGGTCAATCGATAAATAGCGAACCGTTAAAATATTACACTGTTTTGTAATTAAATCATTATACGGGGATTTGATTACGCCAAAGACACGTAAAATAGAGTAAACACAAATAAATAAGGTTTATTGCATACATGTATATTTCCAGCTGATAATATTATGCTATTGTATATCGGACCAGACAATACAATTATTAACGTAGGTACTCGTATTCGCAATATTTGCATATTACGGCGATAGTTCAATTCTGGTACCAAACTACTGGTAATGAAATACGTGTTCGTATAAACATAATAATATAATCGCATCGGCGGAATTAAAATAATGTGTTATTTAGAACGTACTTTGAACCGGTTCGCTTTATCTGAACCGTTCATCGATCACGATCTAATTGAATATGATATAAAAGGTGTAGATATATAAAAAAATCTCGTGTATAAATAATATAGACGAATATAAATAGAGACTAAAGTTCGCACTCGATTAAAAGTTAAAACAAATATAATAAAATACATAACAACGCTATTATTATACCCGATAATTACACACGTAGCCAAATTGATAAGATAATATATTATTGTTGTCGTCATGTAATGATTTTTTTTTTTTTTTTTTGAATCTCAGGTGGCAAACTAAGCCTATCGCCCAGTAAGGACAAGATGTCACCGTACTCAGGATTCCAACTGTGTCCACCTCAGCTCCACAGGGACGATCATTCCGAAAATATGGAACTATGTAAGCAATATATAAATGACTTCATATATTATACGGTTACAACATGCAATAAGGCGGGACTTAACATGTATTTTAACTTTTTTTTTACAGCTTGGGGACCCAACGATCCAAATTTCAAACTTGCCGATGAGAGTAGTGATAGAGGTGAGTGTAAAACTACAAACAATTAGATTATGATAATTCTATGTATATCAAATAATTCACCAAGTATGCTCACTCTATTTTTATTCGTAAATCTAATTTTTGGAATTTTAAAATATACTTAAAATTTCAAATTTTTGAGTTATTTTTTTTTTGTTTTTTTTTTTAATTACGTAAAGAGTGGTAATACAAACTTTTATGTTTCAAATGACACCAAGTGAATTCTACTGTAAATTATTAAGTGAACAATTTTTCTAAAATTGTTGACATAATTATATCTATATTAAAATAATTCGAAGGAGTAGTTTTTGAGCTATTAAGATTTATACACTATAAGGATTATAGATTCATGAATTCATGGTGCTTAGAAAATATAGTGGTTATGTTGATTTGAACATTTTAGTAATTAGTATTACTTAATCAATATTTATAATTATGCATAAGTATAATAAGATACTAAGCTAAATTAAATTAAAAAATCATTTTTTAAGATACCTTTTCTTTTTCCCATTAACACCACAAGAAAACACGAGACCTCCATCAACCGTCTTAAGACACATCCATCTCACTTAACCCCCTCCTCCTATTTTTTTAATACTGTGGAGTCTCCTGTATTATAAAATATATTCTAAGTGAATGTAGAATATCCGGCAAAGAAAAAAGGAAACTCCAAACATCCAATCATCTAGCCGTAATATTCAACCTTAACCTTAACAACGTCTTCAAACTCATCCAGTTTTTATCAGACACTCATCTTATCAATAAATTATAATACATTTCTATTTAACAATATAACATCAAAACCTATAACTACTATTATTTAATACTATGTTATTTAGAATTTAATATTTAAATTTATTTTTTTTTAATGATTTTTCATACTTAAAAAATGTAAATTTTTTACTATCATTTATTTAATAATCATTTAATTTATAAATTGTATCTGCTAGGTAATAACTAATATTACGTCCAACAGTCATATAGATACTGTGAAAAGTTTACCTAATAAAAAAAAAATAAGATGCTACATTTAATATTACATTTATTTTATATTTTTATTATTTTTAAGAACTTTTAGTTCAATACATCGATGTTTTCAAAAAAGTTATTCTCTTAATACCTAATTTATAGTAAGTTTTAATAGTTGTATAGTAGTATTTATAAAAGGGGATTCTCGTTTGAAAAATAAAAGTTCGTATCGCTACTGGACACTTTTTAAGCAATACAAAACAATCTTAAGAATTAAAATAAATTTACAATGAAAGGAATTTTTTATTCTTGGCGAATCACCCTGTATAGTACTTTGCGCAATGACAACGTGCGAGTAGAAATGTATAGCAATACCATCTAATAATAATAACTAATCGTTTATACAATATTATAATTTTTTTTTTTTTTTTTTTTATGGAAATGACAGGTCGCATGATACGGCAGCAAAAGAAAGATGGCGAACATATCAAAAGACCGATGAACGCGTTCATGGTTTGGGCCAAGGACGAGAGGCGAAAGATCTTGAAAGCCTGTCCCGACATGCACAATTCGAACATTTCGAAAATATTAGGTGGGTAAACGACGCTCCTCTCGCGTGATTAGACAATTAGTTTTTCTCCTTTATCGTCGTGTACCTGATATATATTAATCGCGTGATTTTTAACGTTCGCTATGCAGGTGGCAGGTGGAAGGCAATGTCGAACTCAGACAAGCAGCCGTACTACGAGGAACAGTCCAGGCTGTCCAAATTGCACATGGAAAAGCACCCGGACTACCGGTATCGACCCAGACCTAAACGGACGTGCATCGTGGACGGCAAGAAAATGCGGATATCCGAGTACAAGACGCTGATGCGACAGCGGCGGAACGAGATGCGGCAGCTGTGGTACAGAGGCGAGGGGGCCGGTCCTTCCGGTTCCGGGCCGGACGTGGCCGGCACTAGTTTCGGGTATCCGCCCGACGGGTCCATATCGCCGGACTTGATGTACTCGCCGGCCAACTCGCCGTCGTTTGGCGGCGACAGTCACGACGAGGACTAGGCGGCGTGGCAGCCTCACTACATGTCTCGCTATCGCCCGCCCGGCGTAACGTATTTGTACCGACGAAAGCTGCGTGCGACGCCATAATCGCATGTCCAAGTCACATCATCGCCATCGGTCCACTGCTGCGCTGTTACCGCGCGGTCATCGGTTCAGAATGCCCCACTGTGTTCTATACCGTTCCGACACCCACAATAATTCCTCTACGCCACGTCCACGACGACCGGTGAAACAGGCCAGTACCCCACGACTGTCGACAGTACCTGTAAATTGTATATTACACTATATATATTAAGTACGCGTTAGTAGACATGGCAAAAGTCTAAAGTAAACCCTCCTCCTCACACCTGTATGCATTTTTTTTTTTTTTTAATATATTGTGTACAGAAAAGTGTATAAATTTTTATTATTATTATCATTTTTTTTTTTTTTTTTTTTTTAATTACACAATATTATTATAGTTAAACGAAAAATCCGAGGAAAAGATGTCTAAAAAAGTGAAAAAAAAAAAATTACCTTCATCGCGTTTATGATATTATATTATATTATATGTTATGTATATTTTAGCGGTTATAATTTATTTATCCGCTGTCTAGTGCGTATATACCTACAATATAAATTATTATTATTATGTGTATTATTTCATACATAGCTTAAAGATATTGAATGTAGGATTTCTTTCGCGCCTGTATTATATATTATTAAATTTGTACGTTAATTATTTTGTACAGACATAACTTAGTATAATATCGATTGTATAATATAATTATCGAAAAAATATGTGAAATTCCGAAAAAAAAAAAAAATAAAGAAAAAACAACAAAAAAAAAAAAAAAAAACGTCGACTTATAGCGGTATTACTGGTGTGGTGTGCATGTGTATGTGCGCGCGTATGTGTAAATATGATATTTTTTTGTGATAACGTTTCATTACCCTATACACATACGCGCGTAGTATAATATGTGTAATATACTTTAATAATGTCGCGTGTGTAGGCGTATCGCGCCTATATATATATACCTGCAATTAACTGTGCATAGTGATTTCGTGAGTAGGTTATATCTTTATATTATTATTATTATTATTATTATAATAATATTATGTGTCGTACGATGACGGATCGAGCGCGGCAAAAGAATAATAGTAAATTAATTAATCGAAATAATACAATATGTGTATGTATATATATATATATTATACACTAGCGAGTAGTGGAAGCATTAACGTGTAATATAATATATTTGTTTTTTTTTTTATTATTTCCTCGAACTGGGACGAGAGACGTGCTTAGTATAATATAATACGTGTAGTTTTTGGTACATATAAGTACGGATAGTCGACGTCGTCGGCTTTATGATCTCTGTTTTTATTATTATATATTATGTTTTATTTTTAATCGTGTTTTAATTTTTTTTTTTTTTGTGTAAATGTAACGATTTTTTTCTCTTCACGTTTTGTACATAGTTCTGATTCGTTCAAAATTGAACACTTTAAAATATGTAATTTTGAAGATCCTGTATATATACCTATCAAAAAATCGAAATATGTTCTTAAAACACAATATTAAAATACTTATATTATATATTATGTATAATATATTGTATGCATAAAAATAGTAGATAGATTATATATTATATGTATGGGTCAGTGTATTGAAATGAATTTCGCTATTTATCTTCTCCGAAGACATCGTCTCACGATCCCATTACCCCCCCCCCCCCCCCCACCAGTGCCCTCGAGATCATCAGGTGCAGTTGTTGTAGCTTATTTTTCGTATTTTCAACTACTTATACTCCCGCGACAAACGTTTGTTTTTATTTTTATTTTTTTTTTTTTTTATTATGTATATATGAATATACTTTTTATTTGATTTATATATATTATATAATATCTAACTACAGTATTATGATTATTATCAAATCATAATATTCGATTACGAAATAATATGTTTTGATCTATTACAAAAGTCTGGTTTACTTTTATTATTATTATTATCATTATTATTATTATTATTATTATTACTATTATTATTATTATTATTATTATTATTATTGCTATGATTATTATTTTATGTAGATACGATATATTATTTTGTATTATAAAATTTTAACGAGCGATTTCTTAGACAGATTGTTATAATATTATGTACAAAAAAATAATAATAATAATAATAATTAAACTGGAAAATAATTTTTTATGCGCAACGGAATTCGTCGTAAACTTAAAATCACCGTTGTACAATTTTCCTTTTTATTAGCTAAATGGTATCATCGATCCATGTACCTACAATTATTATGTACATTTATAATAATTATGTTATAAATAAACGTACGTACAGACATATATTATATGATAAATTATTATTATATACAAAGTATTTTGTAATCCTGTGTGTTGTACCATGTAATAGTGTGTGTATACAATTTAGGTAGATACTTATTTATTTTGTTTCTTTTATTGTCTGAATTATTAAAATAAAACATATTATTATATGATATTATTCTTTGTAAACGTGTTGAAAGAAAAAAAAAACAAATATAAAGGTGGACGAGTGAGTACCGCTCTCCTGTACACCGGGTATCCAATAAGTCACTATAATAATAATCAATGAATCCGTTTAATTTGAATACAATTATATGGAGTCGTTCTAAAAGAATTAATAATTCTGAGCGGAGACGGTCTGTCAGTCTATATCGCTAAATATATTTCATAATATATTTAGCGATATTTATTTTAAAGTAATTTAATATCACTATTAAAGTATTAAGGTAGATTGATTTAATTAATGTCAAGAACATTGCATTTTAAATACTACCTATTACTATTTAATTATATTATTAATTATAATATATATATTATGTGTGTGTGAGTGTTTAATATATTAAATTATTTATTGTTATTGTCATTAAAATTAACACCACCGTAAGACAGCGTGAATAGGTTCATGGACCATGGTATAAAATAGCTGGAAATGTCTTAAAATTAATCTACATACCGCGTACTCGGATTATCCGTAGTCTCACGCGGAATCAATACGAAACAAAAAAACAACTTATAACTGGTGTTTTTGTTAATAAATTATTCATAATTTTTCATTACATGTTGGTACATGCGTATCTTTTATTTTTTACTATAACATTTAAAATATTTTCGTAATAGGTACTATAATATGAATATTTGAATAAAAATAAAACATACTCTAGTTTAATTTTCCTTAAATACTAATCTCGTGATTAATTTTTTTTTAATAATACATACTTATACACATTTATTGAATTTTGCGGAATTCGCTTACCCGTGGATCCTAAGCCACCCTATTCCGCGGACAATCGAGAGTATACTGTATTTTGAAAATATCATTGTGTATAGTTTTGTTCGGTGCAACAGGTAGGCAAGTATAATGGAGTCATAGCCAAAAAAAGTTCTAAATTTTATTGAAATTTTTCATCGTAACCTTTGAAAATAAAATCTACAAAACACATTTTACTCTTTAAATTTAAAATAAATGCATTTAAAATCGTAGTATTGAAGCCGCGTAGTAGAGTAATAAGTTTTGGATATAAGGATTCAATTATTGGACTTGAATTCCATCAAATTAAAACTATGCATATTAGGTACTTCCTTTTTTTTTCTTCAAAAACTAAAATCATATTAATTTATAATAGTTTTTTGATAAATTATCTATTTTTTTTCAATAAAAATTATTTACATCATAAGAGATATTAATACGTGTGTTAATTTTATAATAGAAAAATATGCGAGGATATGTTTGTAATATGATATAACTATATACAGATATATTTACCTGCAGTCTACAGACCTATTCACTCTGGACCCGTACCTGTGGATTAGATACAGTGCTAGATTAACCTTTAAGTAAATTAAGCATAATTACTTAAAGCCCTCAAAAATAAACACAACTTTTATAATTAAAAATTCGTTATTAACACAATATATAATAACATACATTTTATTTATTTAATTTTGTTTACTAATTCCGAATTCGGTATAATGCCATAACGGGACCTAGCTACTCTTTTTTCAAAAACACTCGGTACGTTGACGTGATTTTATGTTTTATTAAACGAAGGCAATAAAATAATAAAAAAATAATTTATAGGTATAGTTATGTTTCGAGACTTCGAGTACCTATATGATTGTATTTAAACTTTTTCCTCGTGATCAATCTCAAATATCTCGTTGATCAACGATCAACATAAACGGAAAAGGAACCCACGCAACATTTTCCCTCTACCCTACTAAACGACGCAAAATGTTTATACATAGGTATGTACTTTATAATATTGTCATTTTCACTGAAACAACAGGTAATTACAATTTGTAAAAGAATAAATCGCATTATTTCAGAAAAATTAACAATATTAACTACAATAAGAGGGTAGTTGGTATTTTATTCCAAGACTTCATTGGTTCCGGTAAAACAGTTTGAGAGATTAACAAATCGTTTTTGTAGAAGTTATAAACTTATTTTCATTTAGATGGGCTTACTTACTTTGATTGACCGAATCTAAACAAACGCCATGGCCCATGAGTAACTATATTATTTACTTAAATTCTTCAAAAAATACCTATCATAAGTTATTTTTTTTTAATATTATAGGTATACTGCTCGATTGTTTTACACAAAGAATGATTTATTAAAAATGTATACAACACACCCCTTTTTAAATTATGGAGTTACTCAAAATATAAATTTTGAAATATTTTATATACTTTAAAATTCTAAAAATTGCTTTAAATCACAATATTTTATCTACTTCTCATATTTAAAATGAAATTCTTAATATTTTTCTATCAGTTTTGAAATAATAATAATTCTCTCGGCTTTACCAGTTAATCGTTAATCGCATCCAATGAGCGTTTTTTTTTCTTTACTTAAGCATGTGATAATGCATTTAAAATTAACTATATATGATGGATGGCTTAACGATTTATTTGTCATAGTTGTGGAAAAATATACAGTTTCTATAATTAACTTAAAACAATAAGCTATTAACATTATATTTGGCAACATGAGAACTAAAACACATCCAATTCTCACCTAATCACCTCATAAAATTATATTTATCATTTTAATTTGCTTATAAACAAATTAATTGTAATTAAACTTTACTAATTAATTAAATATTTTGTTTTATTCTGTGTAAATACAGGACCTAGTCGAAAGACTTCTTATTATAGTAGAAGTACTATAGCCTATAGTTCATACAATTAAAATTTTAATTTTTACCAAACTAGTTATATCAAACTAAACGACATTCTATGCCCTGCAGTATAATAGATTCTAACGTTATTTGCGATATTGATAAAAATAGTACTGTTGCAATGCCACATGGCCATGACTACAGATGTTGTACTTTACAGAATTGAGATTCATACATTTTATGTATTATTATTAAACGTCATTGATTACAAAATTAAAAATCTTAATACAGACTTTAACAACTATAAAAGATTTTGTACAGTTAATTACAAATAAATACATACACTTGATCAAAAGTAAAAAAAAAATATATACTGTATTATACAAGTAAACAACTTACAACAAATAATATAACAGAAACAATTTTATATTCGCCTATACAAATAAGAAGTCTTTTTTTATCTTTTGTATAAACAATAAAAAATAAAATTATAAGCATGAAAATTATAAAAAAAGAAAACCAATACATATAACTAAGAAGTTATTTTAGCTTTTTAGGATCAAAAGCGATTCTAAAAATGGAAAACATAAATGTATTGTTGTAAGTTTGCAACACAATTTATCTTTACTGAATATTTTCTAACCAGTCTTTAATTGGTTCTAAGATTATATCTGGAGATGAAGTAATTACTTCAGCAAACTCTACTGCCATCTGACAATGCGAAAATTCAAAACACTTCTTCTTTTTCCCCAACAAAGTCTTATTTTTTTTGCCATCGATGCTTTCCAACTGATTTGATTTTGTTAACCTCAATGTATCCCTAAACCACAATACATAGTAAGAATTTTAACAATGAATATAACAATTTCTGAATACGTACAGTTCTTTTTCGAGCAAAGTTTTGATTACTTCTGATCCCTTGGCCATCATTTTGTCTTGTTTGTTACATAGTATTAAAATTTTACTCTTGTTGGACTGAATCGTTGCATCAGTTAAAATTCTGTATAACAACCTGAAAAAAAAATTATTATTTTTGAGTATAATTTATAATATATTTCTTATTACTTTTCATACTTACTCGGCCACATCACATATGTCAGTTTGAACAGTTTCTGAATCCACAACAAACATAACACCTTTACAATTCATTTTGTAAGCATCCCAATATTTTGTAAACACTCTTTCATGCCCCGGAATGTCAACTATGCGTAACAAGTTCTAAAACAAAAAAAAAAAAATGCATAAATAGCTTTGCTATTGGTAACATAATATATATACTTTCTACATACCTTTTTGCTTTTGAACTCGCCTGTGTTTTCCACTTGAGATGTGAAAGATTGTATTGGTTTATTGTACAATAAGTGTGAAAACAGAGCAGTCTTACCGGAATCGCACAACCCCGTAATCAGTACATCTCGGTTGGTCTTACGACTTTTTTTCCATAAAACAAACAATACTGAAAAAGAAAAAAACCGATCATTTTAAATTACTGAACACTGAGCGTTTAGTCTTTGAAGAACTAGCTCCTGTAGGATTTGTGTTGCACTTACCGATGGTAAGGAGCACGACGATCAGAGCCACCAACAGCTCTTTAACGAGATAATAATCTTTCCATGGAGCTTTGATCATGGTCAAAGACATGGTCGACGAACTTGGGATAGTGGAATGATTAATAAACGAAAACCAAAGTTAAAATCGGTCGAGAAAAACGAGTAAAAAACAATACTGTTACAAAACTGCGGAACCAACTTTCAACACGCGAACGTAATCATTTTTTTTCATATCACTCTAGCGCTCTTAACAGTGCCATATCAATGTATACTACACAACCTCAACACGTCACCGATACGTCTACAACTGTGTCTGTAGTAAGTAGGTGTGTAAATATCTAATAACTACGGACCACGATTTAAGATAATATTACATTATTATCTTGTAAGCGGACTTGTGTCACAATTGCGCATGCGCACATTATGTACAACATTGTTACGAATCACTTTGATAACGATAAGCGCCAAACGTGTAGAGGTTTGAAATTAAAACGTTATTATTGCTATTATTATAGGTAGGTAATAAATAATAATATATTATTAGTGAACGCAAAGGCTGGGTGACAAGCCCGGCATTTTCATTCGCATTGCCGTTGATCACGTTTTTAATATGCGACGTGTGAGGAGGACGCGATAAAAATGTAAGTCCGAGAAACTTCAGACTTGTCGCCATAACGCTGTATTGATTTATGAAACTTCAAACGCGCTTCTGAATCGCCACCGTGGCCCGTTTTCGATGACGACGCAGACGCCAGCTGATTGCCAATGGCGGGATGTTATTTGAATGCAAACTAAAGTGGAAGTCGAAAACGCGTTCGTAACATTACGGCCGTACGCTCAGCTTTGGCACCTAATGACAAGGTACTAATATTAGATTTAACGGTAATTATTATTTTATCATTATCACACTCACGGTCCGTTTTCTCCACGACGACGCGGTATAGTTAATAAGTAGGTACTAGGTAATAACTGTTGATGATTATTGATTGTTAAATTCGAATATTCGATACGTAAACATTAATTATTCTATAATAAATTGCCGTTTGACACGTCGTTTAACCGTTAATTAATTATTAATAATCTAAGTAGGTATTTAACTAATCACACAGTGATTAGTTTACTACAGGTACCTATCAACTATACTATATAAGTATACAAATGTGGACTGTATGTATTAAGTATATACCACGGATGAAGTCTATATGAACGCTCAAAATTGCGATAAGCTGTATCATATAATTACGAGATATTGATATAATAATAATATTCCAATAGGCAAAAGGTTTAATAACGATTGATTAAATAAATAATCTTGAATATAATTTGAATATTTAATTAATGATGATTACTATTCATAATATTATATACTATAGTAACGTAAGACAATTGTAACGACTGACGAAGTCTGCGGTGATGTGATAATTATTTAAATTAATCGTCACTGGGTAAGGTTAGGTTAAAATGGTTTTATTAAACTCAAGTATAAAATTCTACTTAATATTAAAATATTTTCGTTTATGGTTACCTACTATTTACTGAGGTACATATCAACAATTTTTTTTTCTTTTATTATTATATATTATATACAATCTGTACCTCAATGGTACAATAAGAGTATTGGCTAAAATAAATATAATACATGAAAATCTTAATAAAAGCAGCCACTCAGTGATGACACTTTTAAGTGAGGTTATATATTATTTTTTACACATATATATAAATGATTTTTTTTTTATGTTAATATATCTCTACACCAATTTCGTTTTAAACGCCTTGGAGAATTACCCAGGATAACATTTGATAGCAGAGCTTGAATAAGAGGATTGAAATGAGTTGCAAGTCGATTATGGAATCTTTTATAATGAGTTACTGCTTCTTCTCTTACAGTTTTAATTTTGAGGTTTGCGTGAAGGGTATGATTTTCTGATTTATGATTTGATTTTTTTAATGCAATATTTTGAAAATCCTGAATACAATTTAGATTTGATTTTTTAGCATTTTCCCAGAATTGAACACCATAAGTCTAAATGAGTTTGATGAGGGATTTATACATTAGTAGTTTTGTTTTTAGATTTGTGTGTTTGTTATTAACTATAGTAAGGTTTTAAGCACATGAAGTCGGAGTTTTAGTTGTAATCTTTTTACACGCGTATGTTGGGCCCAAGTGAGTCTGCGAATTGCGATCAAGGATTAAGCCAAGATATTTTACTTTTGGAGTAGACGGAATTCGAGTACCAAAGAGAGTGACTACCGGACAATGCCCTAGCTAAAGAGTGAAAGTTATGTGATTTGATTTAGTTTGATTTACCTTAATCCTCCAATTTTTATACCAGGTCTCCATCATATATCAAAAATAAATAAATAATAAAATAAAAATAATAATAATTAATAAATTAATGGGTTTAAATTGTTTAATGGTGGTTATAGTTTTCTACTTTTATATAGGTAATTTATATATTATATATTATTTTAATATACTATATATATATATATATATATATATCGGAATAAATAGGCATACCCGTTAGTAACAGAGCATTATTTTTGATTTCAAACAAAAAAGTAGATGCATAGATTATTTTGTAGTTCATATTTTCATAAAACAAAATAAATGCTAAAATACATTAGAATTTTACTTTTTAGTAGCTTACGCTTATAATTATTGAAAGATTTTGATTATACAGAATTTTATTTCCCCTTTATCTGTTTGGGGAAATTGGTTTTATTGTAACTATGAATTATGATACACCATTTATATGCCATTAAAATATATTTGGTAGTTGGTACAACATAATATGTGTATAGACAAATTTTCGAAAGCACAATATATTTTGATAAATTTAATTTATAAATTGTAAGTGATAGGTATTTAAATTTAATATTTTATTATAAACCTAACTTATTTAGGTATAGTACAGCTAGTACAGGTATGAATATTTATATTGTAATAACACTATAACTCGTTGGTACGAATGTACGATCACCGATCACCATTAATTATTATCAATTTGATTATTGCATTGCGATCGAAAAATAATAATCCTAGAGACTATAATAATATAATTTTATTGACATACCTATCACCTATAAATATTTATGCAAATTTTTAAAAATACATTTCTAAAATATTTCGAATGTTTATGAAATCTATATAGGTAACATACTGAAATTTTCCTATACCTACCTATACATACTTTGAAAACTTTGGATAGTTCGATATGAAGGTTGTTAAATAAATTTTATCGATGGGTCTATAATATAAACTATAATTTAGATACAAATAAAGAAAAGAGAAAAAAATAATAATTTCGTGATGGTATAATATTTGTTTTTTTATAAACGAAAAAAAAGTAACACGCAAACGTATACGAGTAATACATGTAAGTAGGTACGTGTAACTACGATACCTCTAAGTGTTTCAAAATGTCTTTTAACCTTATTAGAGATCTAGAGTCTTATTTCAAACAAATTTGCTATTTTCCTCTCGTATTGAACATGTTTGTGCAATAGTACAAAAGCTCTGAGATTTTGCGGGCTTATAAGTAGAAACACCAAGGGTTTTAAAAATAAACTGTGCCTAAAAACGTTATTTACTTCTCTATTCAGACTTACATTAGAGTACATTTCAACATAAATTTAAATGAGTTAGTGTCTCTTTCTTCAATTTAAACTTCTCTTACTTTAGATTCTCTCGTTAATTAACGTAGGTAAGCTGATATTGTTTTTTATTCAAACCAAACTGGTAAGTGAGTTAATATCTTGTCTCGAACTATTACAATCGTTTAACTTCCATGTTTCTCAGCAACAATCTCGTTTTTGTCTCACGCTTGAAATTCCATTTCATCGTATACATTCGTACATCTTAATATCTTATGGCTACGATAATCCTCTTTATTGAATAGCCAGAGAATGTAATGTCGTGATAAATTTTTATTTGTTTAATATTAAAAATGTATATTAATCGAACCCTTGTTTTTTTTTTTTTTTTTTTTTTTTTTTTATCAACCAATGTTCATTTATTATATTTTATTGTATAATTAGATTGTTAAGTATCTAGGTTCTTCATTAAATTATGTTTAATTTTCTAAACTTAATTTACTATTACATTTCTATTTAGCCTAATTAGTATTATCTTAAAAATATCTATTTTAGCATATTAATGGTATGCGATAAGATTGCATTACTGCACTTTGTTTGGCCCTCGTTGGCGTTTATTCAAATAAATAAATATTATTACTGATAGTGTAAGACAAAAACTTGATGAATGCGAACGACGATTTAATAATAAATTCAATACCAATATCGCAATAATAAATAACTACAAATAACAAAGTAGATATCCAATAACTATATTAAAGGAAAATACGAAAACAAGTTTATCGTTGCAATTTGCAAACAACGACGGTCGTTCGGCTGTTGCGCCGTTTATGGAAGCCGGTTGCGACGTAATAGTGTAGTACAACTGACTTGAGACTATATTATGAAATAACAATGTAATTGTGATTTAATTTTTAATTACACAAATTTACTATGATTATTATACTACCGTATTACCGTAATCACTAATCAATGTCGCGATATATCACACTTGCAACGACGAAAACAAAAACAATAATAACGCGTGCGGCATGTAGGTACTTGCACGGTATAATATAATATAATAAAATAATCAGTCGCATGTACGCGTATAATATTATGAACGGCACGCCCGAAGTGTGCTATACTATAATATTATTGTAGTGTTTTTCGTTCTCGTCGTGTTCTGTCGGCATGCAATAATAATAATAATAATATTAATAATATTATATTAATATTTATCGCGTTTTGTTTCGACCGGCGACTGTGTTTGCGTCCGGCCAGTTACACCAGACGTGCGAGTATACCGAGTATAGTTTACCGGCGGTAAGTTTTTCCCAATAATATTTTTAGATGGTTACCTATAACTTATTGACCTAAGTATAAATATTTTTCGTGTTCCACGATTTAATATACATTATATTAAACGTTTACTATTCAGCCGATGGTAAAATAAATGACTGTATATTAAATCACAAAACTATCGCAGCTATCTATATATTAGGTACCTATACCTAATGATAATTGAGTTTTATGGATTAAGTGTATTATGTGACTGCGCTTTTCATGTACAATTTTATACCTTTGGCGTTGTATCAGATCATATAGTATAATGCAGAGTTAACCTTTTTATTATATAAATAATATACATGACGTATTGTATACATGCAAGTATGCAGCTGAACTCTGCAATTAGGTATTCAAGACGATTTAACTTGATTAGGTAAATTACCAACTCAAAGCGTTTTTATTGACAATTGTGATGATTGACGGCTATATTTTAATAATCATCGTATGTCGTATCCGTATGTGAATTTCATTTAACACCAATACACCATCATACAAGTATAGATATAGATAAATGCCTAATAAAAACGATAGCAGTACAACACAATAATTGGTAAAACTTTTCGAAGTACCCATCTTTCATGAGTATATTAACCTTTGTCGAATGTTAAATGTGTTATGTAACATGGTGGAACTGTGGAAGATAATAGACGCACGCTTGTTTATACCTACGCAATAGATAATGTACTTCATGTACAGTCGTATAAAAAAAAAAAGCGTATGTATTTGGATGTAAAGTATTTAAGTAATTTAAGGTTTATATTGTATACTATACAATATAAATCTATTATAATGATTATATTAGTGGTAATATATAATAATATGTGAAATGATGGATTAGTGGACAACATGTATACTAGTATAACCAAATCCCAAATACTATATAATAAATAATAATGCAGGAATTATTAGTATTATAATATCGATGCTTAGGAACTGTAAACGTTTCTCTTGTTACTTTTATTACGATCCAATATTCGAAAAGAAAACAATCAATAATATATGAATGTTATACTGCATAAAAATATATTTAAATAGGTATCTGTTCATTAAAGGTTAATAGGTACCTACGTATAAAGTGAAAGAAAATGATAACTCCTGAAAATATTGTGTGTATAAAGGTCATTTAAATATTATAGTATTTATTATTACTAATATTGTAACTGTGAAACTTAAAAAACATAATCAAGTAATATGAATTATGAACTGAGTGATTAGCGCTTTTAGTGATTTTATAATATGTTTTTTTGAGTGTGACGTCACCTTTAGGAGTAGAAAAAATGTTTTAATCTCTAATTTTTTGTAGGTAGTTTCTGGTAAAAAATAAAGTTAAATTAGTACTTATGGGAAGGGCATAAAAAAGATCCCAATACTTTTTAAAATAATCGGAAAGCATATAATAAGCATATAAAAATTGAATAGGTTTCAACTATACATTCTATATAAACTGTTTTTATTTATAAAAGTCCAAAATATAATGGAGACATTTTTTTTTTTTTTATGGATATTTGTATAGTACAATATTTGATGAAATTGGTTATTGAAATGAAAAATTACTATTTTTCCTCTTACGTTTTTAGTTAATAATTCAATAAATACTAATTCTAAGAACTTGAAACTTTTCACCATTATGTGCATGGTGCGTTTATTTTTTATATCTCTACTATAAGTAGAGATATATTTACAAAGTGTTAATGATACAATATTTTAGGTAAATTAATTTATCGTTCATATCGTTCTACTATAACTACGTCAAGTGCCTATTAAGTATAATCAATTTATAATAAATCATAACTCGTAAGTTAACAACAATATGATGTAATAATAAATAATGCTATAATATAAAAATAACATTTTTATAAATGTACGTGTTTAAAAAAAAAAAAGTTCTATCTTACTATTATAGGATAAGTTACTTAATTTTCTACTGAAATAAATAAATTATCATAGCAGTATTATAAATAAACTTTATTATTAAACACTCATTACGTTAACGATTGAACAGTTCGAAATAAAAATATCCTATTATGGATAAATTTTAATTATTCATAATTAAATAGGATTATTACACCACGGGAATTAATAATTAATAATAATATTAATAATACAAAAATAGAAATTATTTATGTAATAATATATAGGTAGGTAACAAACGAACGTTTAACTTTATAAGTACCTATAAACTTGTATAATTGTATTTGTATATACCTATGATCTAGGAACTAGCCACAATACGAGTATGTCATATTATAATAAAAGGTAGTAAATATTAACAATTGCCAATTATATTTTTTATTTCTACATAAAAAAATATTTATCATATCATACTATTATAATACTTTAATTTCTAGTGAAAATGAGGCTGATTATAATGGATGATGCAAACAAAGTTTCAGAATGGGCTGCCAAATATGTAGTAAAGAGGATAAAACATTTCAACCCAGGACCCGACAGATATTTTGTTTTAGGATTACCAACGGGTGTGTTTTACTACATACTTTTACTTAGTTTTTCTATATTGTTATTATTAGTTATTACTTATTAGTTTATTACGAAACATTTTCAATTCTTTAACGGTAACAGTAGGTAACTAAAAATAAGTAAATATGTCTAAATGTAGGTGGAACGCCATTGGGTATGTACAAGTACTTGATCAAATATTATAAGGCCGGAGATATTTCGTTCAAGTACGTCAAGACTTTTAATATGGATGAATACGTGGGTAAGAAATTAAAAGAATTATAAAAATTACAATTTATACAAAATATATGAATACAAGATAAATACTAAAATTATTTTAAACATTTTGATATATAACGACTTTGATATTTTTCGGATTGGCCTTCATAGCTTTCCTATCTCCAATATTTGATTACCTAATCCTTACATGATGATGTTTGTAAAGACGTAATGTATGTGTACAGGAATACCAAGAGATCACGTGGAGAGCTATCATCATTATATGATGACAAATTTTTTCACGCACGTCGATATAGATCCAAATAATGCACATATCCTGGATGGCAACGCTGCAGATTTGCACGCAGAATGCATGCATTACGAACGGCTGATAGAAGAGGCTGGTGGAGTTCACTTGTTTATAGGAGGTACTTGTCCGAGTATTAGAGTATATTCAGAAGTGGTTTGAACATGTAGTAAATTAATTTTATCTATATATTATAGTAAATCATTATGGCATATATATTATGATGGTAATTTTGTAAATATATAAATATCTACCCGTCACAAAGAATATGATGTTTACACGATATTAAGTCTTATAAAATACCATTTATACACAAATTTTCCCCTAGAAGCCACCACCACTTATAAACGGTATATTAGTGTAAAATATTGGTATGAGCTCTAAAAAATAATAATACCTTCATTGCACCATTGAGCCATTATAATAATTAACGTAAAACATATACCTAATATTAATTTATTTTTCTAGTTCTTGTCAATATTATCTATAATAACATTTTTATTGTTTTATTCGGTTCGGATTTCGTACTTATTGAAAAGGCATCGGCCCGGACGGTCATATAGCGTTCAACGAGCCTGGCTCGTCATTGGTGTCCAAGACTCGAGTGAAAACTTTGGCCAGAGAGACATTGGAGGCAAATGCAAGGTTTTTCGACAACGACATTGATAAAGTTCCCAAACGGGCACTAACGGTTGGCGTAGGAACGGTTATGAAAGCTGAAACGGTAAGTACCTATACTACACTGTTACCCGTAGGTAAATATTAGAAAAATTAACTCGCTGGTATATTTGATATTTTAGAAGACGCCGCAACCGTGGTGTGTCTCCGTTTTACAAACGGAGAAATTATGGCAAATTTTACGTTCACAATAATCCACTATGCTGTTCTTTTTAAAATTTTAGTGAATTGGCTTATTAATTATAATAAAAATTTTATATAATCTAAATTCTAGCAGAGTATCTGAAAGATATTATTGATATTTTAATTTTGAATCAAGCTATGATCATTTTAAATATTTATATCTACTCATAAGTCATAACTTGCTTTGTACTTAAAATATCATCAAAAGTCCCTTTATGCTTAGTCAAATAATAAGTTTATCTTTGAATTTTAAAAATAACAGAGAAAAATTGAAACGTGAATATACCATTTGCATTAGGTTTATGTTTTTACGACTTTAACAACACATCCGTATGGGTCTTTCGATTTCTTATTTTCAGTAAACAAAATGAAGATGATTATTCTTTTAATTACAATGTTAAAAACTTTCGTATTATATATTTTCCTCTATTTGATTATTTACATAAGCATAAATGTTAAACCTTCCGTAATATAGCCGTAGAGACGAAATATTAATTCCTAGATTAACAGTTTGGAATGACTTATTTTGATATTTTGGGAACTCAGCTTCCACCTTGTATCAATCATCGCGGATCACTAGACTTTAGAGGGAATGTAATTACTCATAAATCACGGGTAGTATCATGATTTTTTTTTTAAATACTAATGGCTACATTATGAACTTTATATTACGTAATATGTATCAAGCCAAAATGATAAAAAGCTTTTAATTTTCAACTAATTATAAAAAATGTTTGTATCATACTGTAAAAAGAGTTTAAAAATAGTGTTGCATAATTAATAATAATTTTTGTTTGTGCGTTTTAAAAACTAAAATTTAATAATGTGTCATAATTAAAAAAAAAAAGTTTATAAAGGATCCAACTGTTAAGAGACTTAACGCTATGTCTATGCAAAAGATTACCTACTTTTATAGGAGTTAACTATTTCTCGATGTACCTATTTGATATACATATCACACATTTACACATATATCGTTTAAACAGTCAACGTATTTTATACTTACTACAGGTCATGATATTGATCACGGGATCACACAAGGCGTTCGCTCTGCATAAAGCCATTGAGGAAGGCATCAATCACATGTGGACTGTTTCTGCATTTCAACAACATCCAAAAACAATTATTCTATGCGACGAGGATGCTACATTAGAATTGAAAGTAAAGACAGTGAAATATTTTAAGGTGAGTTTGTGTGTGATTTTAACTGCAGATAATTAATTAATAAAACACTGCGCAAGCATCTATGCATAAATTTTCAGTTGAAAAAAATAAGTAATATTTTCAATTAAATTTATTTTTCTTCCTATCATACAAAAGATGTGTAAAAATATTACACAGATAGATTCTTTTTATATTGTTGCATAAAAGTATGTAATTTCTATATTTTTATCAAAAGCGTCAATTTGTTTAATATGAAGTTTATTAACACATTTATATGTAGTCTACAAAAATTTGTTCATTACTTTATTTGATAAATAAATATTTTCTTCTTAAATTTTCTGAATTTTGTTTTCCATGACATAAGTATTAAACTGGTTTTTGTTCTAAACCTGAGAAAAAATATCTATGTGAAATGATTTAATCTAGTATTCAACCAGTTAAGTAAGTCTTAAGCAATTATTCCTAGATATTTTCTTATTAATCATGACAATATGATGGTATTGCAAAAAACAAAAATAATTTATATTAAATAACACTCAGTAGATGAAAGCTTGTGTATTAGATATAAATAAAAAGTTGGTAGGCAGTAAATTATGTTTAATATTGCCTAAAAATGTGTGCAAGCAATCAATAATAAAAATAATTATGAAGAGTGCAACTTTTATTGATATATTCTAACCATCAATATGTTATAAAATAAAAAAAACAGTATAGTATATTTTTTTGTATTTATTGTAAGGTTTACATGTTGTACTGGTATGGCATTTTGTGTGTAACTCCTTTAAATATATTTTTTTTTTTTTTTACAAAAACAAAAGTCAAAAAGTGTCAGTCTGCCACTGCTGTCACTCTATAATCTATATTACTCATAAGTTATGTCATCAAATTTTTATTTTCTAAAGATGACTGACATAATTTTAGTACCAACTATATTTCGTAATGTGTTGCATCAAAGATTATACATTAATACTTATTATTTAATAATTTTTTCCTTAATTTTTGTCCTAACTATATTCCATAAACTTTAATTTTTTCAACAAAAGATCATAGAATGATGATCTGTTTTATTTATTAAGAACAAATATATATTTCATGAATTAAAATAAAAAATAACTTAAGTGTAGGCATATTTGAGCTCTGAACTCAAGTATTTAGTCTACTTATAAATTAAAAAAATATTAATTTAAATTTAGCTCCTAAGTAATTGAAGTACACAATATATATTGTGCTAATATACATATTATATTATAGATATTTTAATAAGAATATATTTTTTTCAATTGTAGGCCTTAGGCGCTGTTCATGAAAAGCTCATTGAAGAAGACAACTCAGATTCATAATTATTCACAGAATAAATGTCTTTTTTTTTAAAGAATTTATACTAAATATATGAATAAATAGTTATCAATACAACTGTATATAATAAATAGTAATATAAGTTATTACAAGAATTTGAATAAAATATTCATAGTATGTAATTAAATATTATGTTATTTATATCTTCAGAAGTGATAAAAGTGTATATAAGATAGTATAACAGCATTTTTACTGTCCTTATACTTGTTAAATAGGCTATACCATAAAAACTTTGGTTTTAAGCTAAAATTAATCATTAAACTAAAATAAATTTCTATCTTTGATTGTATAAGAATTATTTTTTGATATTATATTTTAAAAGGTAGTTTGAGGGGGGAGAGAGAAAAAATTGTGTAATAATATACTTCAATGTTTATTTTTTTATTTATATTAAAAAAACTAGCATACAATAATTAAGAACGAATTATTCAATTTTATCAAAGTGCTTTTACTTTTAAACTTACCTAAGCCACGCAGAGTAAAAAATTAGATATTTTTTATTGGAGAAGTATTATTGTTAAAGTAATGTCATAGTTTTCTATAAACAGAGAATTAATGTTCACAATAATAATTATGATATATTATAATGATAATATATTCAAGATCTATAGAAAGGAATTCATATATATGTTTTTATTATACAGATTAAAAGGAAAGTTGAATTTTTGAACACAGGGAAAATACAATTAAGTATTATTATACACAAGGTAATTTAAATATAATATAAAATTTTAGTGCATATATATATGTATATTTTTTTTTTTTTTTTTTTTGTTCCAATAGGTTAATACCACAAAACCAAATTACGCAGATGACAATATTTGATTAAAATACAATAATATCAATGATAATAAATAAACAATAATATATAAAAGCAACATTGAGGATTAAGTATAATAATTCTATAATATGACTAAATAGAATATAATACATAAACAAAAATGTAAGTTAAGAGTTAATTCAGTACAAAATATGGTCAACCCAAGAGTGACAATATATTAATACTACATTTAAGTTCACTAACTTTTACACCTTTCAATAATAATTATAAAAAATAATAAGCATAATGTAAAATGAATAAAATCAGTACTGTGAGAATAAGGTAAAAATAAAAATTAATATGATTATATGTTTAAAAGAATAAGGTGCTGCAGTCTTATACACTTAGCGCGGCCACACTTTAAACAATCAGAGGTAAAAATTTTACTTATCGACAAATATCACAGTAGTTGTACATCAGTATTGTTACATGCATTTTTTATAACTATAAATTAATATGTATTTTTTTTTAATTTTGATGATTGTATGAATCAATAAAAAAAGTAGAAAAAAGAAAAACAACTCTGGTCTAAATAAAATATATTATAGTTAATAATAATATATCATGAAACTAAATTTTTATAAATGTCTTTATACCTGTTTTTCACAGTAAATTTCATAAGATCGTCATTTTGCTTTTTATTTAACCAAAGAAAAAAAAATATTTTAATACTCTTACACTTGATAATACACGCAAATATGAATAAGATTAATATGTACGTTTATAGAAATAGGGTTGCAAAAAGTAAGTAAGTAATAATAATAAGACTCTTGACTATACAAATATATAATACATAATAGAATTAGAGAAATGGAAAAATATATCCTGAAAACAATTAAAAGAAATAATATTATGATGGAAAATAGAAAGATTGTCATGTCAACAAATATGATAAATAAATGGGTAAAATGAGGTGGAGTGAAGTGTGATCTTGCATGGTTTATTATATTTGATTTAATGTTATACATTCATAATAAACATCAATGATGCCAATTAAATAATAATAATAATAATAATAATAAAACCAAATAAACAAAATAGTAGTGTTAAGATTGTAAATCATCACATTATTAGCATACATTGTTTGTATATACATATATATGTATGCATCGCAAAAATGACAAAGGTAAACCTATCAATGAAATATAATATATATAATACAAACACATACATATATATGTTTTATGTACAAATAGTATGCATAATAATCTAACAAAACATGTAAAATTAATCCAAAGAATATTAAACAAATAAAAATAATAATAATAAACCCATTGAGCTAACCATTCATTATTAAAAAAAAAATAAATGCAATCTACATTCTATAAATCTATAACCTTAATAGTTAAATAACAAGAAAAAAATAGTATATTATTTATGTACAGCTAATTATATTTAAACTTTAATTTCAAACATTCAAAACACATGAAATCAGAAATAATTACTGATAATATTAGGTTAGAGTAAATTCTATTAAAACTATTAAAATTAATATTTTTGTCTTAATATAAGTTAGTAAATTTTAATTTAATTTAATGTCTCTAATTAAAGCTAAACTGTTTATTTATCAACTATCATACATAGCATAAATAGGATCTGATAAATAAAAAATAAAATAATAATAATAGACACCATTATTTTGGTTATTTTACTTGTGTATTATTTGTATTTGTACCAACACCCTAAGAAAGGAACTTTTAAAATTTTTTTATTGATTTGTTTAGTTAATGATTGACCCAAATAATTAACTTATTGTAAAAATACATATACAATATATTATCATGTATACTTTATGGTGCTTAAATTGTTTTAATTTAAATTATATCACATTAACACTTATAAAAAATGTAGTTAGCCAAGTGCTTTTAAGTTTTAACATTATGATTATTATAAAAATGTGATTTATTATTTTATGGTCCAAGGATAATCATAATATTATATAATAATATATTTTACAACTTGTTATTTAATTAATTTCAATTAACAAACTAAATAATGAGCATTATACATAAATATAATGGAGCTAAGTCATATAAAGCTAATCTCTTCTAAAAATGGTTTTAATATAAATATATATAATTTTGCATAAGAGTGCATGACTAATTTTGTAATACAAACATATATATAATATATTAATTCAGTATAATTATGTTATACTGTCATTATTTGTTAAACTCGAAATAAAAAAATAGGTTGAAAAGTCCCTGTAAAATATAAGATTAAACTCTAATAAATAGCTTATGATTAATAAATTACTATGTATGGCTATTATCGTCTATAAATCACAAAGGAGCATCTATAATCTATATTAACAATTAATGTAATGTAATTCAATATTAAAACTATGCAATATTTAAATAAATATATAATATATTGATTATTATTGTTTTATTATTGTTATGATTGAAATAAATTCAGGCTAAAATAATGTTATGTTTTGTACTTTTCGATAAAAAATATTGAATAAAATTATCAAACCACTAAATTATATTTATTTTGTATATAAGGTTGTAAAATTTTAAGTAATCATAACAATTTTAAAAAGTGCATATTATATCAATAATAATAATAAAAATCAGAATGAAAATGTATTAGAATATATTAATTATTTTATGATCAATTTTAATTTCAATCATTAAATAATATTGTAAAAAAAAAAATCTAACTCATAACCATAAGGCAAATTGTTTCAAATACTATCACCAAAAAATTTTCCCTAAATTAAATATCATTAAATAATTTTTCACTAGGAAAATTCGGAATATTTAAAAATTAATTAAATAGATGGTTAATAATGTTGTGACTAAATAATAATTGGCCACTTTTATATAATATTTTATTATTTATTAAATAAATAAATTGAATTATAGAACGCAGCCAATTTGAATAATAAAAATAGCTTTTGACATTAAAATCTATGTTTAAAAATATATTTTTCTATATACAAATATACTAACACCAAAATACATATAGAAATTTAAAGTATGTATAGCTAGCTTAAAAATGTTTAAGTGGAAAATTCTGTAATATCTTAAATAAACTACAATTATGCATGCAGTTTAAATTATGAACTTTAAACCATGAAAAATAAATACATGAAAGTGTAAATTTTATAATTTATAATTGGCAATAATGGTATTGTAATTTAAAATTACATCAAATTGACAATGATCATGGTTAGTACTAAACACTAAATTATATAATGTACAAATCAATTATTATTACTTCGTGAGGGTTTACTTTGAACTTATTTTTGTTTATATAAAAAATACTAATATTTCAATAATCATTCCAATAAATTAAATCAAACTATAAAAATTACTCTAAATATATTATTGAAATTTTATAATAATTAATTAAAAATACAAAAAAAATGTATTTTGTTTATTTTAATTTCAACAAATCCAAATAATACATTTAAATGAGCCAATTAGTGAGTTTAGGTAATATTTTAATAACTTAAGATTTAAGTTTGTTAGATAGTTTTTAAACCATTAAGTGTAAATATTAAATTAAAAATTAAAAAAATAAATAAACTAATGAATAAAATTTAAAACTGTTACTTTGTTTAATTGTTTTGATTAGTAAGTTATTAATGTGATATTATTAATTTAACTCCACAACCATAAAAATAATAATTAAAAATAAAAATGTGGCTAATTGAAGTAAACATTTAGATATATATATATATATATATGTAATAATATATTAGTAATCTCTAATCATTGAGCTTAAATCTAATAGTGACATATTTTGATATTAATTCAGACTAAAATTATTTCAAAAAAATTATTAAGGATGTCTAAACCTATAATATCACTCATATTATAAAACTATTATATTTTAATCAAAAAATTACAAACAATAATTATTGTCACTTTAAACAAAACATAAAAATATATATGAAAATTATGATATAATCATATATACATCCAATAATAATGTTGTGTAATTAAAAACAATACAAATACATATAACAACTACATGATAAAAATATAATGTATAGGATAATGTAATATATTTAGCTACTATATAATAAAAATATATTTTATGAATATATTTTTTCTAATATTATACCCAAAGTAATAATAAATATAAAACAATAATTGTCGAATAAGTAATTATTAACGTTTTACTTAAATATTATAAAGAATATGAAGATTA